TGATTTTTATATAAATTTATTTCGTACATATTTTCAAGTATTGTTATTTAAAAAAAATATATATATATTACAGTATACCTACTAATTAATTATTTAAATACTTAATACTTTAATAGAAATAATAATAAAGTAATGTACTAATGGAAATAAGAGAATGAAAAAATTGAGAATTTTGAATCAGAGAGAGAAGAATATGCAGAAGAATGCATAGAAAGAACTTACTTCAGATAAAAATAAAATATTATATATAATTATTTTGATCATGAACCATGATAAATTTATAAAAAATATTAATTTATCTTATATCTTAAATCTTGTATTCATAGTCACAATTAGGTGAGAGGTTAGGGAGAGAGCTTAGTCTCTGTTCCAAATATATATATTGAATAATAAGCCACAGAAAAATTGTCTTTAATGAAGCATAAAATTATTATATTAAACATGTGTATGCTAACTACAAAACTATTTCTCAAATTAACAACTAACTTTAATCTACAAACTAACTTCTTTTTTAAAGTGAAAATCAGCATTTTTCACCAAAAATTACTAATCTGATTTTGTACTTTTAAATTTAAATCATTAAAAATATAGTTCTGAAGTATATTTAAAAATTCAAATAATCAGAATTCAAATTAATACAGATAACAGGTAATAATTTGTTGAATATTACAGGAAACAAAATTGTTGAGCTTGATTTTCTAAAAATTATTAAAAATTTCTTTCAATCACTTTATTATATTATAATAAATAAGCAAAAATTATTTTATGTTTATTCTTAAAAGTGAAATAAAGATCGAAGGAAAATTAATGATTATATTTAGTAATATGATATAGATTTACTTATTTAAATACAAATAAAATGTTACAACTATTAAGGTATCTATTATAACTCATAAGTCATAACATATATATATATATATATCAATTGAGGCAAAAAGGAAGTGTCAATGAAGTATGGAAATGATTGATGAAACCAATATTACCTACGTCTTTATTATACCTTATTTTATACGTATATAAAACTACTCAATTATAAATTATTGTAAAAGAATAAGATTTAGCATTAAAAAAATAAATGTTCATCTTTTTTTTATTAAAAACAATAATTTACATTATTTTAAGGGTTCCCTAGTACTTCATATTAAGTCAAATTAAAGAATATTCATCTAATACAGTATTTGCTCTAATAATATTCAATATTGTATCTTAAAATTTAAAAATAAACTATAATATATATTATATACTTTTACTCAGTGGTATGACAAATATTTGTTTTTCAAAACATACTTTATCATTATATTACTACTTATCTACTTTATCTATAACCTAATTAATATTAAATATTCTAAATTATGGAGATTATTACCTACATAATAATTAACTAGTAATTATTATAAACCTGTATTAGTCATATAAGCATATAAATAGCATTTAGTTAAAAATTAAGTAGAACAATTAATAGTTATTTATTAATAAGTAAATCAATTTAATTATTTAAGAATTGTTATCAACACAAATTATTAAGTACCTACTAAATAAATAATTTAAATATTTCTTCATTTGAGTAAATGATCTTTAAATATTTAAACGCCTAATAAATCGTAAACATGAAATAATTTAAAATTGGTTACATGGTATGTAACTATCAGCAATTAAATATTCTATTTATGCAAATAATACTTTAAATATTGTACACATACAAATAGAGAAAGACCTAAGATAAATTAATTACTATCAGTAAGATTTAATTTTAAGTTTTAAAACCAGGCACAATATTAGATATTAATATATTACATTATTAGGTAAATTAGGTTCTAGCAAAATTGAATTATATATATAATGTGAAGAAGCACAGGGTCAAGTTAGTTGCTCCAAAAATGTCTGTTAACTTAAAACCATCGTATCTGGCATACCCACGACCATTGGTTTATGTGTATTAAGATACATGGACCGCTGTCAGTCGCCAAATGAATTATGAGCATTGATACATCCTTATCACCAGGGTAGTGCCTACACATCGTCTACACATTATTGCTACCTAGCCATACTCTTGTTATTACTATAATTATAACACTATTATTACATAATTATTGAGCAACACTCACCCTTGTCCGTGTAATGTATGACACTATTCAGTCCGGCCGAGTGCCCGATGTTTCTGTAAAGCACATTCACGTCGCTCTCGCACTTGCGATACACCGAGTTTCACGGCCGACACGCTCGCGCACCCGAATGCCAAATTCAAGACGAACCCGGACGGACGACCGCGCGGACTTGCACAAAGTTTTTTGCTAAGACGGCGCACTGCACATATTATTATTATTATTATTATGGGAAACGAGACGCGATTTTCTTATTTCGCTTTTACTCTTACTCTTTTCTCTTTCACTCTGTCTCTCTCACTCGCTATTTTTTTTTTTTATCGAATTAATAATAATAATAATAATAATAATAAAAAAAAAAATTATTCTGTAGTGATACGCGCGCGGCACGAAGTGATAAAAATTGGGTGCGGCTTCCGCAGAGGACTCTACGCAGTCCACTCGCTCACTTCGCGGCTGTTCCGGCGGGCGGGCGACGTTGTCCGCCACTCCGCCGCACCCACACCGAGAAATTTACCGACTGGCCCGCTACCAGTAGTGTTGACGTCATTGCCGACGTTCCTGGAAGAAAAAATCGAAGCGCCGGCCGCGTTTCCACCGCAGAATGCAGATTAAACAGATACAAGATACAATTATAACAATATATATCATAGACGAAATCTAGAACAGATCTGTATAGTTATTATTATAGTGACACTATACCTATAGTCTATTAGCCTACAATAACGACCAAGGCATTTAGCTTATATTTATTTCATGTTGTTGGAAAGGTGGTTGTCCATTGATTTTTATATTATCTGTACGGAGTTGGCTAGGAGTGAATTTATTTTTTCTCAAAATAACGAAATACAATCATCTACAATATAATAATGCGTTGTTGTATTGACGAGCTTATTGTGGTCCGACGTTTCTGTGCGGTTTTAAAAAGGCACAAAATATGTTTTCCAATGAAAAGAATAACAATTTTAACATTATTGTAATATTATATTTTACTCTACGGTTTATATAAATGTGTTGAACTGATATCGATTATAATGCAAACGAAAATAAAAATATATTACAGTGATGTCATCGATGGCATAACGTTTGGGTGGGAAATTTGAATACGATATTATTTAATTTATACGCACACGAACTAAAATTGATTGTTTATTAAACAATAATCAACAATTATACGAATTATTAATATCACATCGAAATTTACATTTATCAATTTACGAGTACGTACAACGATTGTAAAGTAGCAATTCGAGTTTTACCATGCAAACATTATTTTTATTATAACTGCGTTAAATTAGTTTTATACCAATGGTATTCGGAAATTCACTAATCAGTACTGACAGAACACAACTTATATTTAAAATTGGATCTTTTTTCAAATTAAATTAAATTTAAAATATAATGTATTATATTGAAAAGTGTTTAATAAATAAAACAACATTTTTTTTGTTTCTGGTTTAATATAATTCCTAAATCTGTTTAGATAGTTTTGGCGTGAATTATATATCATTGATGATATAATATATTGTACTTGTTTGTATTTTTAAATAAGTACAAGTCGCAAGTGAAATATTTTTACTTATAGAAATAAATAACTAAAAATAACTTACAAACTCTAAAAAAATGTTTTTTTAATAACAGAATAAATAATCATAAATATGTCCACTATATTTTATAGAAATGCAATACTTTCATTACATTCATTATATTAAATTAAAAAATAGATCATATAAAATTGTACATAACATTTATATTGTATAGAAACATCATAATCTTACTTTATATTTGAAAGTTTTTAATTTACTAAAAAAATAAAATAACTACCCAGTATTTAAAAATTAAATTTTACTCAAAATAAATAATTACATGTTTAAATTTTAATAAAATATTTAGATAAAATTATTTCATGCTTTATAACTTAAATGTGAGATGAATATGATTCTACATAACAAATAAATTAATTGTTTATAAATTTTTGTCCAATAAAAAAATGAAAAGTACAAATTATCATGAACACAATATTTTTCTAGTTACTAATAAGTACATAATATGTAATGTTAATACAAATATTAAATAGTTATTATTAAATTTAAACAAAAATAATATATATGATTTATATTTAGAAACAATAACTCTATACATAAGGCACATAAATATTTGTACATTAAGTTTATTTTTATTATATTACATAGAATAACAATTTTTAAAATATAATTTTGATTATGATTTTGATTATACATTTATTCAAAAAAAAAAAGTTATAATAGTTTGGCATCTAAAAAAAAAAAAAAGAAAGAGTACACAGTAAATTTTATTTATTTTAGGTGCTTTAAATTTTAGTGTAAATAATAGCTTCAGTAGTCTTGCACTAACTTGTGTATACAATTTAAAATAAATCTATCTATATATAGATTTTTTTATAGAAATTTATTATAATATCATAAATATATTAATAAAACTAATTTCTATAGTTGTTATATGAAATTTAAATGTAATTTGGTTTTATACCATAAAATAAAAGATTAATTTGACATTTTAAATATGATGTAATAGACAATTTATTAATTATACTCAAGTAGTGCTGTAATTTGAAGTCTCGAAGTTAAACATTAAATGAGAACCTATTAATTAATAATATATTTTTTTAAGTAGTTATTATTTTGTTAAACATAGTGAAAAAAATGGTAAAATAGAATCACTTCAATTAAAATTTCAATATGAAGTGGTATAACTTATAATTATAGAGATCAAATACGTTATATAGCTTAATACATTAACCACACTATAACTCCCCAGGAGTAAATGGTTCAATCAGTATATTTTTCATTATGAACCACTAAATTTGATTTTCACACAAATGAATTGTTACATTAGTTTCTCCTAATATGGCTCATATTACTTAAATTTAAATAGTGAAATTTTATACAAATATTTGTTTTTTTTTTTTTTTTTATTCAACAACTATTCAGTATTCAAAAACTCTGCTAATTGATCTTTAGGTTTCATTATGATAATAATAATCCATCCAAGTACTGCTCCATAACATCGACAGCAGTTTAATGCTCGCCATGTTTCAGAAACTTTGGCTTCAACTTTACCAGACATAATAGCTGTATCATATGTAGCACATGCAAATGCAGCTAAAGCTGTTAATACACTTAAGAATAATACCTGAAAAATAAAAAAATAATACAAATTGTTTAAAATTGATTTTGAAATGTATAGTTAAATATTATATTAAATTACTTTTATAACAATGTTGTTAGTACTTATTGATTATTAAGATTTTAAATTGAAGTCAGATTATAATTTAACAAGAATTTTATAACATATATCAATAGTTTTAAAGAATTTTTTTATGAAAATAACAAATAACTTGGTAAAAATTAAAGAAAATATCCATCTTTAATATTCAGGGTAAATTGGGATTATTATTACTTTAACTCAACTGATGTATCTACATTAATGTTGAATTTTATCTTAGCAATAATAATATAGATAAAAACATTGGAAATTATTATGATATTAGGATATAATAATTTTTGGATTATATAAATAATAAAAGCCAAATTTTCGGTTTATAAGCAAAAGGATTAGTCAGTAAGTTTTAAGGTTTTAATGTTTTTGAACATTTTAACTAAAAAAAAATTAACTATATTTATTTTTATGAAAAAATAATCTTTTAATACCTCAACATTTAAAAATAAGAATTAATTAATATATGTGGGGCAAATGATAAGTTCAACTAAAATTTACAATATATTGGTATTAGTTATTATGAAATCAATTATAAATAATATTAAGTATTTCAACTTACTAAAATATATTTTGGTTTGAAGCTTTCACATCTATACAAGTCAAAAACATCCAAAACTGTGCACATACATATAGTTGACAAAAAGAAAAATGACATCAATATTAATGGTGATCGATGCGATGCTTCACCTAAAAATAATTGTGCTAATGCTACTCCCGCAAGTAGACCTTGACTAACAGTGCCCAAAGATGCAAATACCCTTTGAACTCTTGCAGCAATTGGACGTAAATTATTGTAGTTCTCTGAAGGTGGATGATTATTTATATGATGATTAAAAAAGTCATTTTGTTCAGTTTTCACAAAACGATTTTTGTCTTGAACATAAATAACAATTTTATTAGCATCATTAGTGCTAGTAGGACGTGGTTGATGTGATAAAGGACTTGTTGAACTATGCACATCATCTCTAACTTCTTCTAATATGGCTGCAACTGTATTGCGATTAGTATCCATCTTCTGTTGAAAATTAAAATTACAGTTACATCACCTAGTTGGTATAATATTAAAATATATTTAAAAATTAATATGCTTTACTAATATAATTGTGTCTTAAACACAATATACATACTAGGTAGTTAATTTTCAAATAAACTTCCGAATAACACTATACTAAAATATGAAAAAATGTAATTTTTTATTCATAACTCAAAAATTGTCAATCTTAACAAGGTATATAATAAGTAAAATAATAACAAACCGTTTTTAAATTATTTTAGAGTTAAGACTAAATCATAATAAAAATGTATATTCTTTACTGTTTGATAAAAATGTTCATGACCAAAATATAATTTAACTATAATTATAATATTGAGAACATTTAATAATACATAATTGTAAAATTGTAGAAAATAAATTAAAAAATAGAAATTACAATACTATATTTCTTCAAATAACAAAAGTGTATACAAATAATAATAAATCAAAACAAATAAACACTGATAGTGATAGAAGCGCGAAATATATTGATAAGTTAAAATCAAAGAATAACAATTATAAACTAAAGGGTCTTTGAATGATATTTTAATGACGTGTGATAGATGATATCATCAATATGATAACGTACATTGTATACAAATTTGTAATTGGTATACAGAAATTTAGAATTTTAGAGTAACAAAATATTGCATTAAAAGTTTTTGAAAATTAAATATTAAATTATTAACTATTATTTATAGTTAAGAATTTACCTGTAGTTAAAGTATATTATTTTGTTTGTTAGTTTTTCATAATGTTCGATAATTTATCAATTTGGAAATGGCATATGGTAAGAACATAAGATTCTAAAATTTATTTATTTATTTATTATATAAATATTATATTTTCAAATATAATATTGTTTTGTGATGAATTATTCATTAGGTATTTGACATATTTAAACAAAGATCTTACATTTATATACTATGAAATTATAAATGCTAATAATCTTTTTATTAGGTGTCTATATTAAATTTTTGAGTTCAACTTAAATATTTTGTAGTTAAAATTAAAATTATAAAATATTTAATACTTAAATTATTAATATGTTTTTCAGGATTTTGTGGGACAAAAACATGCTGAATATTTATTTAGAACCATTATCACTATGTGTGGTGTAAGTATTATATAATTAAAAAAAATAATGTAGATTTTAATATTTAATTTTTTTTTATACTTGATAGTTTGTTGGATTTATTTTGGGGTATGTAAAAGAGCAATTTTCAATCACAATTGGTTTAACATTAATTGGATTTTTTGTTTCTGCTTTAGTAAGTATACATATATAATTAATTATACATATTAATATAATATAATTATAACATTTAAATACTAAAAACACAATTGTCCTTAAAAAAATTTAAATATAGTTTTAGTATTGATGCACAACATTCCTGTTTAATTGTATTTAGTTATTCAACTTTAAAATTGTATGTAACAATTGTTAAAAAATAATCATAATGTCAAATCACTTTTTTTTTTTGTTAACTGCTGTTGTAATTATGATTATTTTAAATGATTGAATTAACTACATAACAATAGTTAAAAACTATAGATACTTAATTTCTTAATTTTTTTTTTTTTAATTTTTAGCTAACAATTCCACCTTGGCCTATTTATGCTCGTAATCCTCTCAAATGGCAAAAAGTAAAAAAAGTTAAAAAAATTGAAAATAACTTGACTTATGATGAGTACAAAGAAGATAAAAAGAAAGAAAAAAAGAAAACAAAGTGAATTAGCTTATAGAATTTTTTTTAACATTATATTTTTTTCCTATTATGTTATATAATTTAAATTCATTATTTGAAATAAATATATGTTATTTATATTACTTTATAATGATTTTAAATAAAATAAAATATTATGATTATGATATTGTATATTTAAATGTCTTAAAAAACAAAAAAACTAATGACTTAATGCACTAATAATATTATAATATTTAAAAAGGTGTTCTTATAAATTATTTTTATCTATGTTAAATTTAAATGATAAAATAAAACTATTGCACTATTTAAATTTGCATAATTTGGTACTATCAATATTTATGCAAGTTGTAAATAAGTTAATTTAATTATAAATATATGCAAATTAGAATTTGTGAAATTTTTAAATACCTTCTATTTAAAAATGATATTTTTAAATTCTTGAGATATTTTGTATTACTTGAGAGTATAGTGTTTGATATTCATACAAACTTCTCTTATCTAGATGAGAACCTCTTTTTTCATTGTAAATTATTCATAACTTGCGTTGAATACTGCACCTTGATTAAACTTAAGCATATTTATACAGTAGAATGCATAGGCTATGCTATAATATACATACTTATAACAAATATCTTAGTCTAAAATTACAAATCATATTTATGATTTAATTCCCTAAGTCCCCCTAATTACGACTTGGGTTCTGCCTGTCACAATTAACTAAAATGTATGATTTCTTATAAAATACTGTCTTAATGAAAATTCTTGGACACTTTGTGATTTAAACTTCAAAACAGAAAATGTATTTTTAAGAAATGAAGGTATTAGTTTTACATTTATATATTTTTTTTATAAATATCAATACTAGGTTGTTTATAAGTTTTTATTTGAGTTAATTAAAAACCTTAAAGATGTATCATTTTTATAAGCATTTGGAATTCAAATTTTAACGAAATTTGATATTTGTTATTTATACCATAAATTTGATAAATTATTAATATTAGTATTTATAATCAGTGATTATACAAAGAATAGACATTTTAAGTTTAAGATATTTTATCTTTTTACATTTACCTATATTATTAGTTTTATTTGTTTAAAAAACGGGCTGGTACCTCAATAGTTGCATTGAAATCATTTTAATATATTATTGAAATAATAATATTGTTATAATTTATAAAACATATATACAATGATATTTTACATTTTCACACTATTTAACTAATTAAATTTTAAAGATATATAAATTAATTTTAAGTTATTGCCTATATTTAAACCATAAACCTCAAAATATATAATAATAATGAACGATACAAAATATATATTATTATGATAATAAATATTATGTAGGTAGTAAATTTAAATATTTTTGGTAAAGATAAATACAACTTACAGCATTAATTAATAATAGTAAAAATGTAAAACAAATTACCATAATGTCAAAAATGATAAAATAAAATATCCTTAGAGAAATATTAACTGTCTCTGTTAAAAATCATTTTTTGTTAGAAACGATTTATTATTGAACTTAAATTTACTTAATTAATTACAGTGATCTTCTATACTGAATGACAAGGTACACTTGAATACTTTACACTTAATGTACAAAGTGGTTAATTATTTGTTCGGCTTATCTAGATATGTACTTAGTAGTTACAACTGATATAAAGTATATTATTATGGAACTTTTGATTATTTTTTTAAATATTTTCAATTTATGTATGATACAATTTGTATTGATAGTAAAACACCATAAAAATTTAATGAGTTTCATAACAATAAAGAAAAATATCAAATAGGTGTAGGTACAGCCACAATGGTTTTTAAACGTTTTAAATTTTTATGAATTTCAGAATTCCTGCCATCAAAGAAATCTATAAATATTATTTTATAGCACAATAAATGTAAAATGTATAACATTTCTAAGTTTAACACCAATAACACCTAAAGATTTTAATCAGTACTTATTGGCTATTATTGTTATGAGTTATAACTTTGTTGACATGCTGTTACTTTGGTATCTAATCACCTATATTGAGCATATTTTTTTTTTAGATTTTGTTTGCATCTCATAATATACAAGTATACAAGCTGTATTGATGTGATTTTTATTATTTAATATTTATCAAATGCCTACGTGTGTTATATCTCATATGATTTTATTGATCGAGTTAATCATTTATTAAAAAAAAAATTGATATTGAATATGTACCTATTAACGGTAGGATTGTTTAATTCTACTACATTGTCTACATTTCATCTTATTTAGTTGTTATAATACATTAATACAGATTATACATTTATTTTTACGGCTATAATATTATAAAAATATAATAGTTAATCATCATATTTTAAAGTTTTTGATAAACATTGAAATAACAGCATAGGTACCTACCGCATAATGATATAAGTAATTAGATAAAAAAAAAATTAAAATATATTATATTGTACATATTAAATTAAATTTATTCAAATTTGATCTGATGATTTTGTAATCACTAATCATTTTTTTTTTTTTTTTTTTTTTTTAAATTTGGCTTTATTAGAAGAATTACAATCTATACAAGGTACAATAAGTAAAAGTAATAATAATTTACAGACAAATAACAAGAATAATTACATGAGGAGGGAGTCACACATTTGTGACACCTCTAATATACGTATATAAGTTTTAAACTTAAGTTATCATATCACGGCACCATTTCCTTTTCAGACGTCTGGTTGGATTGCCTGGAAGTGTTAGTGAAGCTAATTCATTGATTAGTTGATTAGGAATAGCTTGGAGTTTGGCGTGGAAGCGTTTGTAGTAGACAGCAGCTGTATGGTCGATGGATGGTAACTTGAGGTCGGAGTTTATGGTCTCGTTCGAGACGAACCAGGGTACACCAGTGATTGAGCGAAGAGTGATGTTTTGGAACGCTTGTATGGTTCTCTTGTTTGAGTTCTTAGCGGAACCCCAGATTACAATGCCGTATGTCCATATTGGTTGAAGAAGAGCTTTATAAAGAATGATTTTGATGGATAAGGTAAGGTTCGAACGAAGTAGTGGCCTTAGCAGGTGAAGTCTAGAGTTAAGCCTCTTACGCTTATCTTTAAGATGGAGAGACCAGGTAAGGCGTCTGTCGAGTGTAAGACCCAGATATTTAACTTCTGTTGAATGAGGAATGACGATGTTGTTGATTGTTACTGCAGGGCAGTTTAGAGGTCTGAGTGAGAAAGTCACAAAAGAGGACTTTGATTCATTAATTTTTATTTTCCTATTGGTGAACCACTGTGAGAGAGTATTTAGGTGAGTTTGAAGTTGATGAGATGCGGTGGTATGGTCAGAAGAAACTGATAATAGGGCAGTATCATCAGCATATGTTCCAACTAAGGTATTTTCAGTTGTGGGCAGGTCCGATGTATATATGGTGTATAAGAAAGGAGCAATATCGCTGCCTTGAGGGACACCAGCATATACCATAGGATATTGTTTTGAGTGTTGTAAATTATGTCGGACATTAAAAGAGC